AAAAAGGAAAAAAACATTAGCTGGGCGTGGTGACACATGCCTATAATCCCAGCTACTCAGGAGGCTGAGGCAGGAGAATCGCTTGAACTCAGGAGGTAGAGGTTGTGGTGAGCCGAGATTGTGCCACTGCACTCCAGCCTAGGCAACAAGAGGGAAACTTCATCTCAAAAAAAAAAAAAAAAAAGCAGTAGAATAAAATATGATTTTTAGTTAATAATGATGTCAATATTGGTTTATCAATTTTAACAAATGGCCATACTAATATAAGATTTTAATAACAGGGAAAACTGCGTGTGGGGTTTATGGAAACTCTACTATCTTTACAATTTTTCTGTAAATTTAAAACTGTTTCAAAAAAGTTTATTTCTTAAAATGGAAAAAATGCAGATGATTTCATACCCATGTTAATTTAAGCAGAAAAGCTACAAATTCTCCTATTTCATATGATAGGATTTTCATTTAACAAAATGAAAGGTTATGAGGATAAATATTAAAATGGTAAAAGTTAGAAGCGATTAGCAATGAAACAGCAGCAACTTCCAGTTCTACATTCTTTATTTTTTCTTTTTTGAGGCAGAGTTTCGCTCTCGTTGCCCAGGCTGAAGTCCAATGGTGCAATCTTGGCTCACTACAACCTCCACCTCCCGGGTTCAAGCGATTCTTCTACTTCAGCTTCCAGAGCAGCAGGGATTACAGGCACACACCACCATGCCTGGCTAATTTATTTTTGTATTTATTTTTTGTATTTTTATTAGAGACGGGGTTTCACCATGTTGCCCAAGCTGGTCTTGAACTCCTGGTCTCAAGTGATCCTCCTGCTTTGGTCTCCCAAAGTGCTGGGATTTCAGGTGTGAACCACTGCATCTGGCCCTCTTTTTTTTAAATTAGCAGATAAAAGTGTATGTATTTAACATGTATAACGCGATGTTTGAAGTATATATACATTTTGGGATGACTAACTCTAGCTAATATACATATGCATTACCTCACGTAACTATCATTTTTGTGACTGCTTTATTCTTTTTTGTATGGTTTGAGTTTATATATTTTTAGCAATGAGTGTGTTGCTTTCTCACCTGAAATAAAATTAAAATATTACCATTTTTTAAATTTGCTGAAAAAGTCTGGAGGAAGGAAGAGGCTGGGAGGGGGGACTCCTACCCAAGGAGGGAACCCATATAATAGAAGGGCCTAGCAGGGGGTAATGGCTCACGCCTGTAATCCCAGCACTTTGGGAGGCCGAGGAGGCCGAGGAGATCACCCAAGGTTGGGAGTTCAAGACCAGCCTGACCAACATGGAGAAACCCTGTCTCTACTAAAAATACAAAATTAGCCAAGCATGGTGGCGCATGCCTGTAATCCCAGCTACTTGGGAGGCTGAGGCAGGAGAATTGCTTGAACCCAGGAGGCAGAGGTTGCAGTGAGCTAAGATCTCGCCATTGCGCTCCAGCCTGGGCAAGAGCGGAACCCCATTTCAAAAAACAACAAAAAAACAGAAGCCCCTGCAAAAATCCTCCAAGAGAATCGTGTGTTTTTGGCTGTGTGTGTGGGATCCAGGAGGAACCAAGGCTCCTGCTCAACTTTTTGCCCACTCCACATGCTCTATCTTCTCCCTCCATGTCCTCCTTGCTCAATCTCAGGGTGACCAAATTTAGCCAATAAAAGTGTAAGATGCAGGCCGGGCGTGATGGCTCATGCCTGGAATCCCAGCACTGTGGAAGGTGGGAGGATCACCTGAGCCTAGTTCTAGACCAGCCAGGGAAACATAGTGACACTCCCCCAACCCTCTCCACCCCCCACCTCTCACTCCCCCTCCAACCTCTGTCTCTACAAAAAAAAAATTTAGAAAATTAGCTGGGCATGGTGGCACTCACCTGTGGTCCCAGCTACTTGGGAGGCTGAGGCAGGAGGATTGCTTGAGCCCTGGACATTGAAGCTGCAGTGAGCTATAATTGCACCACTGCACTCCAGCCTGGGCAGCAGAGCAAGACCCTGTCTCAGAAAATAAAAAATAAAAATAGGCCAGGCATGGGGAGTCACACCTGTAATCCCAGCACTTAGGGAGGCCAAGGCGGGTGGACTACCTGAGGTCAGGAGTTCGAGACCAGCCTGACCAACATGGCGAAGCTCCGTCTCTACTAAAAATACAAACGAAAATTAGCTGGGTGTTGTAGCGCACACCTGTAGTCACAGCTACTCGGGAGGCTGAGGCAGGAGAATCGCTTGAACCCAGAAGGTGGAGGTTGTAGTGAGCCGAGATCACACCACTGCACTCCAGCCTGGGCAACAGAGCAAGATTCCATCTTAAAAAAAAAAAGGCTTTGCTCAGCTTCACCTCTCAGCAGCTTCAGGGTCTCTGGCCCTGCAACCTGCAACTTCCTGTGCAGGTCACACGGGGCAGGTGTTGCCATCAGTCCTGCCTGCCAGTCTCCTGCACACCCAGCCATGGGGAGCTCCCAAGGGCTGAGCCTTTGTCAGTCACCTAAGTCACTGTCATTCCTACTCTTTGTTGTGCATTCTTTAGTACCAGGCCCTGTGCTAAGCACTTTACCTTTATTTCTCACTCCTTCCTTCTTCTATGCAAACCACGTTTATTGAGCACCTACTATATACCAGTGGTCAGGGTAACAGCCGGGGAACAGAACTGGCAAACAACAACAACAACAACAAACCCTGCAGTCCAGGGAACTCACACTCTGCTGGGGAAGACAAGGAACAAATAATTAAGCATGTATCTATATAGTAGGTCACAAGATCTAAATTTTTTTTTTTTTTTTTGCGATGGAGTCTCACTCCTTTGTACAGGCTGGAGTGCAGTGGTGAGATATCAACTCACTGCAACCTCCCAGGTTCAAGCAGTTCTGCCTCAGCCTCCTGAGTAGCTGGGATTATAGGCGTGTGCCACCACACCCAGCTAATTTTTGTGTTTTTACTAGAGACAGGGTTTCACCCTGTTGGCCAGGCGGGTCTTGAACTCCTGACCTCAGGTGACCTGCCTGCCTCAGCCTCCCAAAGTGCTGGGATTACTGGTGTGAGCCACTGTGCCTGGTCCTAAGTTGTCTTGAAGGAATATAAAGCAGGGAAGGGGGATGGGAGGTGTCTGGGAGGGTAAAACTATTTTATTATTAATTATTAATTTTTAAAGAATTTAATTATTATTATTTTTTAGACAGGCTCTCTGTCATCCAGGCTGGAGTGCAATGGGGTGACCTTGGTTCACTGCAACCTTGACTTCCCGGACTCCAGCGATTTTCCCACCTCAGCCTCCTGAGTAGCTGGATTGTAGGTGTATACCACCATGCCCAGCTAATTGTATTTTTGCTAGAGACAGAGGGGTTTTACCATGTTGGCCAGGCTGGTCTCAAACTCCTGAGTTCAAGTGATCCTTTTACCCTGGCTTCCCAAAGTGCTGAGGTTACAGGTGAGAGCCACCGTACCTGGCCTTAAGTTTTAATTTTTGTTGGGTCCATAGCAACTGTATGTATTTATAGGGTACATTAGATGTTTTGACACAGGCATACGACGTGAAATAATCGCCTCATGGAGAATGGGTTATCCATCCTCTCAAGCTTTTATCCTTTGAGTTACAATCCAATTACACTCTTCTAGTTATGTAAAATGTACAATTATTATTGAGTATAGTCACTTTATTGTGCGATCAAATAGTAGGTCTTACTCATTCTAATTTTTTTAACCCATTAACAAAACCAAGGCTGGGTGTCGTGGCTCACGCCTGTCATCCCAGCACTTTGGGAGGCCGAGGCAGGTGGATCACTTGAGGTCAAGAATTCGAGACCAGCCCAGCACTAACATGTCAGAACCCTGTCTCTGCTAAAAATAAAAAATGAGTCAGATGTGGTGGCAGATGCCTATAATCCCAGATACTCAGGAGGCTGAGGCAGGAGAATCGCTTGAACCCGGGAGGTGGAGGTTGCAGTGAGTCAATATCTTGCTATTGGACTCCAGCCTGGGAGACAAAGCAAGACTCTTCTCAAAAAACAACAAACCCACAACATAAAAAGCCCACCCCCAGAGCCCCCACCACCCTTCCCAACCTCTGCTCACCTCCCACCCTCCGTGTCCATGAGATCAACCGTTTTGATTTTTAGCTTTCACAAACGAGCGAGAACATATTCGAGGTTTGTCTTCCAGTGCCTGGCTTATTTCCCTGAAACCGATGACCTCCAGCTGGGTGAGCTGTTTTAAACAAGAGGGTCAGAGAGGATGGCACTGAGGGTGGCACCTGAGGGAGGGAGAACGGGAGCCATGCAGATCCCTGGGGGAACAACAGTGTCCCCGGGTGGAACAACAGAGTGGGTGAGGGGGTGAGTGGAGGGGGCGAGGACAGAGGGGTGATGGGGGCAGATCATCTGGGGCCTCATGGGCCTGAGACAGAGCCACAGAGAGCTGCTAGCAGAGGCAGGTGTGATCTGATGCAGGATCACTTGAAGTCAGGAGTTCGAGACTGGCCAACATGGTAAAACCCTGTCTCTGCTTTAGTTGTGTGTGCGGAATGGACCCCAGACCAGGAGGGAGCAGGAAATCCAAGGAGTCTGCAGAAAACGAGTGCAGACAGGACCAGGATGGGGCTTTTGGGGCAGAAGTAGAGAGTCTAGATTGAGCCGGCCACTGTGGATCACACCTTTAATCCCAGCACTTTGAGAGACCAAGGCAGGTGGATCACCTGAGGTCAGAAGTTCAAGACCACCCTGGCCAACATGGTGAAACCCTGTTTCTACTAAAAATACAAAAATTAGCCGGGTGTGGTGCTGTGCGCCTGTAATCCCAGCTACTTGAGAGTCTGTAGCAGGAGAATCACTTGAATCCAGAGGTTGCAGTGAGCTGAGATCACACCACCATACTCCAACCTGGGCAACAGGGTCAAAACTCCTTCTCAAAAAAAAAAAAAAAAAAAATTCTAGATCAATTTCGAAGGCAAACAGGATTTCTAGATACTTAGATGTGGAGCATGAGCGAAAGAGGAGTCAAGGTCCATCCAAAAGCTTTCAATCTCATTTAATCCCAAGGCAGCCTCACAGAGCATTACCATTCCTGGATTACAGATGAAGGAACAGAGGTTCAGAGAGGGTTGCTGACTTGCCCATGCTCACACAGGAAGTGACGCAGCTGGAATTTGAACCAGTTTCTGTTTGACTCCAGTGTCTGCCCTCTGCCCTCTGTGGAGGTTGCCAGCTTCCGGCACGTCCACAGCCTCACCCAGCCGGGGACAGAGCATGCCAGGCCTGCACAGGGCACCAGCTCAGTCAGTGGCCATTGCACTACATGACTGTCCAACCTGTGACCTCCTGGTCGTGGCCTGGCCCACCATGGCATTCTCTCAGTGCTCATCACCTGTGTTTCAAAACCGTGTTTCCCCACCTGCCTGTGAGCTCCCAGAGGGCATGGCTGTGGCTGATTCACTGCTGCTCCCAGCATTGCCCAGCCGGAACCTGGCATGTGGTGGCCTTATTAAGGCAACAGATATTTATTACACATCTATCTTGTGCTGAGCAATGCTGGGATGCAGCTCTGGGCCCCGTTCTTCTGAGGTCAAAGTCCAGCGGGAGAGTCAGAGAGACCCATCCCCAGACAGCGATGGCCTGGAGTAGGAAGGACTGGAATGCGGGGAGCCCAGAGTCCACACCCCAGCCTGAGAAGGGGCCTGGGGTGATTCGGCAGAGGCATTGAATTCACGGTCACCACCCTCACAAACTTAGTCTTGAGGGTGCAGACAGATAATGAGCAAGTTTGTTTTTTCTTTTTTTGAGACAGAGTCTTGCTCTGTCACCCAGGCTGGAGTGCAGTGGTGCAATCATGGCTCACTGCAGCCTCAACCTCCTGGCTCAAGTCATCCTCCCGCCTCAGCCTCCTGAGCAGCTGGGAATACAGGCACACACCACCATGCCCAGCTATTTTTTTTTTTTTTTTTGAGACAGAGTCTTGCTCTATCACCAGACTGCAGTGCAGTGGCATGATCTCAGCTCACTGCAACCTCCATCTCCCAGGTTCAAGCGATTTCCCGCCTCAGCCTCCTGAGTAGCTGAGACTACAGGCACACGCCACCATCCCTGGCTAATTATTTGGATTTTAGTGGAGACGGGGTTTCACCATGTTGGCCAGGATGGTCTCCATCTCCTGACCTTGTGATCCACTCACCTCGGCCTCCCAAAGTTCTGAGATTACAGGCATGAGCCACCATGCCCAGCCATCCAGCTAATTTTTGTATTTTTGATATAGACGGGGTTTCACCGTGTTGCCCAGGCTGGTCTCAAACTCTGGCTCAAGTGATACGCCTGCCTCAGCCTCCCAAAGTGCTGGGATTACAGGTGTGTTACTGTACCCAGCTAAGATACACATTTCTGTCTCAGGGCCTTTGCACTGGCTGTTCCTCTGCCTGGAATGCTCTTTCCCCAGATGTTTCCCTCTCAGTGAGATCCCCCTGAAAATTCCAACTGCTCCCTCACTGTCCCTGCATTTTCTGAGCATGAATCCCTATTTAACCAACTCATTTATCCTGTATTTTTTCCAACTCTCTGTTTAGAATGTCAGACCTGTGAGGGCAGAGATCTCTGTCTCATTCATGCCTGTCTCCCCAGCACTGAGAACAGAGCCTGGGACAGTAGATGCTCAATAAATGATGATTCAATAAATAAGGGAAAGGAAGGAAGGAAAGAGGGAAGGAACTGGCAATCTGTGGGCTCTTGCGGATTGTCATCGGTCCTAGCTGGGAAGCAGGAGTGTTAGCATGTCTCTTCTTCCCGGATAAGACGGTGTCAGGCTGGGAAACTGAGGCACGAAGGGACACTGGTCACACTCTTTGAGCCGTGAAGCAGGAGCCGGCTTCAGACCAACTCTCAGTGTGGGGCTCAGAAGAAAAGGCCCCCGACGCCACCTGCTGGTGAGTAGTGTCATGATGGTTGTGCCCACTTTGCTGACGGAAGGCTGGCGATGCCCTTGAGGGGTGGGCAGGAAAGGAGGCAGCCCAGGGGCACCCCCAGCAGACATGCAAAGTCCATGGAGCCACAGTTTAAGGCTCTTGACTCCAGAAGCCCTACAGGCACCTCGCTCCATCAGTGCTATGCAGGAGGGTGGGGCCATGCCAGCAGAGGCCCGCCCTGTGTCACTCTGTGCCCACTCCCTCCACAGCCAGCCACGACTCCCACCTCTCTAGGAGGGGACAGTGCCCCAGCTCCATAGGGCTGCATGCACCCTACATGGGTGGGGCCTCTGGAGGGCAGGGGAGTCAGGACCCACCCAACTCCCCACTCAGGCCTGATCAGTGTCTGGTCACAGCAGCCAAGGTGACAAAACATAGGCTTCTGGAGGAGAGCGGCTCCCATCCCTAGAGGTACGTCCTCCGGCCAAACAGGGGTCTCACCACCCAGACATCATCTACAATCTTCCCATCCTGTGAGGGACAAAAACAGAGACAGTAGTTAGAGCTGAAAGCCTGAACTCTGGGGCCAGATGGCCTGGGTTCCAATCCCATCTCTGCCCTCCGATGGACTACGCAACCCTGAGCAAGGTGCTAGTCCTCTCTGGGCCTCAGTTTTCCTCATCTGAAAAGTGGTGGGAGAGTAAGAGTAGCCACATCACTCATGTTGTGGGAGTTAAATGAGATCGTATTTGTAAACGGAGCCCAGCATATGGAAGGGGCTGTGTGAGTGTAGGATATTTTTAGGGCACAAACTCTGGAGTCAGACAGACCTTGCTTTATATTCCAGCACATTCTCTCTTTCTTCTTTTTTTTGAGACAAAGTCTTGCTCTGTCATCCAGGCTGGAGTGCAGTGGCGCAATCTCGGTTCACTGTAACCTTCGCCTCCCAGATTCAAGCCATTCTCCTGCCCCAGCCTCCTGAGTAGCTGGGATTATAGGCATGTGCCACCACGCCCGGCTAATTTTTGTATTTTTAGTAGAAACGGGGTTTGTCCATGTTGGTCAGGCTGGTCTCAAACTCCTGACCTCAAGTGACCTGGTTGCCTCGGCCTCCCAAAGTGCTGGGATTACAGGTGTGAGCCACCACGCCTGGCCTTCACATCCACTCTCAAGCATGTGGCTAGACTGAGCATAACTTCCATGTTCTATGCAATGCGCGAGGTAATAGATGCCCAGGGTGATGGCGAGAACTGACTGAGATCACACACACAAAGTGTTTGGCCACTGCCTGTGAGTAGTGTCACGATGGTTGTGCCCACTTTGCTGACAGAAGGCTGGCGATGCCCTTGCGGGGTGGGCAGGAAAGGAGGCAGCCCAGGGGCACCCCCAGCAGACATGCAAAGTCCATGGAGCCACAGTTTAAGGCTCTTGATTCCAGAAGCCCTACAGGCACCTCGCTCCATCAATGCTATGCAATGCTAAACTCAATCAATGAGTTATCACATTCCAGCTCCACTGTCCTCCAGCTGTGTGACCCTGCGAAAATTACTTCCTCTCTCTGAGTCTTAGTTCCCTCACCTATAAAATGAAAAGGAAATCCACGCCTGTGGGATTATTTTGGTGTATAAAGAGCTGTTGGTGCCAGACACCGTGGCTCACACCTGTAATCCCAGCACTTCGGGAGCCTGAGGCGGCAGATCACCTGAGGTCAGGTGTTCAAGACCAGCCTGGCCAACATGGTGAAATCCTCTCTCTACTAAAAATAGAAACAATTAGCCAGGTGTGGTGGCACATGCCTATAGTCCCAGCTACTCCTGAGGCTGAGGCAGGAGAATCACATGAACCCAGGAGGTGGAAGTTGCAGTGAGCAGAGATCACGCCATTGCACTCCAGCCTAGGTAACAAGAGCGAAACTCCATCTCAAAAAAAACAAACAAACAAAAAAAGCAAAGAACCCGGGAAGTGGAGGTTGCAGTGAGCTGAGATCACGCCTCTGTACTCTAGCCTGGGTGACAGAGTGAGACTCCATCTCAAAAATTAATTAATTAATTAATTAAACAAAGTGCTACTAAATACAGAACATCTAGGCAGTGCCTGGTATGCAGTAGGTGCTCAATAAATCATAAATATTTTGATTATTTTAAAACTACAATGGCAAAAATAAAGAAAGGTGAGCCATTATTATTTGGGTCTACCTAACTGTAAGCCCCTCCTTTTACTCACCCACTTACTGTTTCCCCCCACCTGTGTCCCACCCTCACCTTTATCTTCCCCTGCCTCTCAGTAGTAAATTCCTACGCAATTTACCAAGTTCCACACTGTTCTAAGCATTTCATATGTAATAAGTCATTCAATCCCCATACAGTCCTATGAGATGGAAACTGTGATCATCCCCTCTCACAGATGGGAAAACTGAGGCTCAAAGAAGTTAGATAAGCGGCTCAAGATCACTCAGCTGTCAAGTAGCAGGAGCGGATTTCTAGCTCTACAGTCCACATTTATTTGTTGTTTTGAGTTAGGGTCTCACTCTGTTGCCCAGGCTGGAGTACAGAGGTGTGATTATAGCTCACTGCAACCTCTAACTCCTGGACTCAAGTGATCCTCCTGCCTCAGCCTCCCAAGTAGCTGGTACTGCAGACATCCGCCACCACCCTTGACTTATATTTTATTATTTATTTATTTTTTTTTTTGAGACAGAGTCTCGCTCTGTCACCCAGGCTGGAGTGCAGTGGTGCCATCTCACCTCACTGCAACCTCCACCTCCCAGATTTAAGTGATTCTCCTGCCGTAGCCTCCCATGTAGCTGGGACACCTGCCACCATGCCCAGCTAATTTTTGTAATTTTAGTAGAGACTAAATTTAGTAGCAATTACAGACACCTGCCACCATCATGTCCAGTTAATTTTTGTAATTTTCACCACGTGGGTCAGGCTGGTCTCTAACTCCTGACGTCAAGTGATCCACCCTCCTCAGCCTCCCAAAGTGCTTGGATTTCAGGTGTGAACCAGTGCACTTGGCCTAATTTTTGTGTGTTTTTCTGTAGAAACTAGGTCTCACCATGTTACTTACGCAGGCTGGTCTTGAACTCCTGGACTCAAGCGATCCTCGTGCCACCGCACCCGGCCAGGAGTCTGTGTTTTTAACAACTCATCTGCCTGGCTGGGCCTGGCTATGCAGTAGGGTGACTTGGGCCTGCCCCTCACTGACCTGGTCGTCCGACACCTGCTGGACGTGGATGTGGGTCCCATTGAGGATGTGCAGCCGCGTGTACCCATACTCCTTCACACGCACGGCGCTCCAGGGCCTTGGAAAGACGGCAAAAGGCGTCAGCCGCTCCTCACAGCCCTAGGGGGGAGAACTGGTCAGACCCATAACAGGTGGAGGACCTGCAGGGAAGCAGAAATGACCTGCCAGCCCAAGACCCTGCTGCCCTCAAGGAATACAGTTAAGACTTGGCCACCATAGAGGTCGGGCGTGGTGGCTCACCCCTGTAATCCCAGCACTTTGGCTGAGGAGGGTAGATCACTTGAGGTCAGGAGTCAGAGACCAGCCTGGCCAACATGGTGAAACCCCTTCTCTACTAAAAATACAAAAATTAGCCTGATGTGGTGGTACACACCTGTAATCTCAGCTACTTGGGAGGCTGAAGCAGGACAATCGCTTGTACCTCGGAGGCAGAGTTTGCAGTGAGCTGAGATCATGCCATTGCACTACAGCCTGGGAGACAGAGTGAGACTGTCTCAAACAAAACCAAAACCAAAAAGACCTGGCCACAATCATGCTCACAATTGAACACTCTGCCCCAGCCAGGCTTCCCTTGCTCCAGGTCTCTGACTTCTAGAAAAGTGCATGGCTGTAGGCCAGACACAGTGGCTCACGCCAGTAATCCAGACATTTTGGGAGACTGAGGTGGGCGGATCACCTGAGGTCAGGAGTTCGAGACCAGCCTGACCAACATGGAGAAACCCCGTCTCTACTAAAAATACAAAATTAGCCGTGTGTGGTGGCACATGCCTGTAATCCCAGCTACTCGGGAGGCTGAGGCAGAAGAATCACTTGAACCCGGGAGGCAGAGGTTGCAGTGAGCGGAGATCGTGCCATTGCACTCCAGCCTGGGCAACGAGAGCAAAACTCCATCTCAAAAGAAAAAAGAAAAAAAAGAAAAGAAAAAGTACATGGCTGTATAAGGCTGCCCACTACAGCATTACAATAAAAGCTCTGAACCAGAAGCCATCTGTACGCCCATCAGGGAGTCAGTTAAATACATTATAGCATAGCCATCATAAAGCAGGGAAGCAGGGTGATACAGGAAGATGGCCGAGATGTGTGTGAAGGGGAAAAAGCAATTCGAAGAACAGAGAAATCACTGGGTCTGAAGCGGGCTGCGTGGTAGACCCTCCAAGATAGCATTTTAAAACACCAGTGTCTGGGGAAACAGAATGCTTGTGCTTGCAGCAGAAAAGCCAGGCACGAGGAGCAGAGAGGTTGTCGGAGTGAGGAAAATCACCATTTTGCACCCGGCGCTGTAATACCAGATTGAAGCAATGTTCATGAATGGATAAAACTAGCAGGGAAAGTTTGAGGCATAATAGGACGTCTGCATGATCTCAAAGTATCTCTCCAGGAGGTGCTTGTTAATTACAAAGGAAAAAAGACAATCACTTTATAGTGCAGAGGGCTGGCGGACACCTCCCTAACCAAGTGATCAAAGTGAACATCATCAGTAATGAGACCCATCCATATCACAGTTTCAGCGGAGAAATCAGAGGCTCAAAGAGGTTAAAAAGACATCGTGCAGCTGGTGTGGGATTGGTGGCTCACACCTGCAATCCCAGCCCTTTGGAAAGCTGAGGAGGGCAGACTGCTTGAGTCCAGGAGTTCAAGACCAACCTGGGCAACATGATGAAACCCCATCTCTACCAAAAAAAAAAAAAAAAAAAAATACAAAAATTAGCTGGGCATGGTGGTGCGCACCTGTAGTCCCAGCTACTCAGGAGGCTGAGGCAGGAGAATTGCTTGAACCCAGGAGGTGGAGGTTGCAGTAAGCCAAGATCGTGCAATTGCACTCCAGCCTGGGTAACAAGAGCAAAACTCCGTCTCAAAACAAAACAAAACAATAAATCGTAAGTGTGCTAATAACTTTGTTAAGCCCTATCCTATGTAGCTGTTAGACATGCCATGCTTACAGGCACGGAGTACATTCTATGTCCTTGTACTTAAGATATCTGTGCTGGAAGTTCTCACAGCATGTCCCAGCTCTCCATTGCTTTTACCTGTTTGGAAAAGTTTTAAGTTGTTAGCCAATCAGGTTTTAGTTTAGATGGTGAGGTCTGGCTCCAGGCAACAGAGATCAGACACAGCAGTAAGGACGACCCCAAATGCGTAAGGAGTAAATGTGTGTATCCCTTTGTTCTTTGTACTCTCCTGGCATGATAGCTGTTGAGAATACCTTTTCTGCAATACAGGAAGTAAAAACTACGTTGCTGAAAGATCCTTTGCCTCAGTGCTAATTTTTCTTCGCCACACCGAGCATCTATTTCCAACACCAGTGGACATGCTGCTAAGAGCTCCTGGCCTTAGGGCTGAGGGTGAAGTGGTGTCCACTGTGTAAAGCACCCAGCACTCAGGCCGGAGCAAAGCCAGCCCTCGATAGATAGGAAGAGAGAGAGAAACCAAAGGCACCCCTCCCCCTGCTCACAGCAGATCCCGTGATGATGTGGACAGGTCCCCGCGGGTTGGTGTAGGGCATCTCTTGGCTACCGTTAAATACCTGTGGAGGGGAGCAGCATTAAGTGGCGGGCAGTCACGCTGGACCATGCCGGGGGCATCAACCACACCGGCCCCAGCCTCATGGGTGCTCAGCCCTTCACGAGCCTCACCTGGTAGTTGTAAATTGGCCACAGTCGTTCGTACGAGTGCTCATGAGCCCACAGCTGCAAGTCCACCCCTGAGACAGAGCAAGCGAGGATCAGACCTCTGAAGCGGGGAGAGGCGGGGTATGGGGCATGGGTCCCAAGGGTCTCTCACCGTGTTTGTAGAAAAGATCCTCCAACCCGTACAGCTTGCCTCGGAGGCCTTTGCGGACCTGGGCAGGGTGAATGAGCAGGTGAGGGTGACACAGACCAACACCCGCTTGGATCTCAGCACCTCCCCGATGCTTCCCGGGACCTCCCAGATGCCTCCCAGGGAGGGGCCTCACCTTGCTCTCATGCTGTGTGCAGTCGTCCAGATCTGCATTGGAGCAGTACATGGGCCGGTGCCCCATGGTGATGATCCAGGGCCGGGCTGCCCGGTTCCTATTGGCTTTCTAGGGAGAAGGGCTCAGAGTGAGGGGCTGGGGGTCCGGGGTGGAGGGGGAGGTGGGGCCGGCCAGGGAACTATCGGGGACCTCCACCCAGGTTACCTGGAGGTCGCTCTCCAGCCAGCGAAACTGCCTCTGTACCAGGTGGCGGCCATAATGGAGAAAGAAATAAACCTCGGTGGAGAAGGAGATGATGTGGGCAGGACCCAGATCCCAGCTGGGAGAGGCAAAGGGCAGGGGTTAGGGCCGGGGCTCCGCTGCATCTCCCATCCTTGAGGGCAGAGGGCCAGTCCCCCGGCACCCCCACATTACCTGTACCACAGGCCCTCATTATCCCCCGGCATGCTGAAGCGAGCCTTGTAGTTAGAGAAGTTGCTAGAATGAAGGAAATACAAGGGATGGAGGTGAGGGACTGAATTTCATAGCCTTGCTCCTATACCCCACCCCGCCACTGTCAGGCCCTGAGTCTGGCTTCCAGCCCACCCCCACGTCCTCTTGCTACCACAATTGAGATGTTGCAGCATGAGAGACTCAGGGGAGACACTACGAAGAACAGGACCATTTTCATTGATCCAGCCCTCATCCACCACCACGGCCCTTGGTCCTCACTAGCGTTCTTCATGATTCCCAGGGCATGTCATGTACGGCAGGCTGGCAGCCACGGGTTCAATGAGCTGCATGAACCTATCCCCAACACGGGCGTTGTCCTGATCCATGTTGTAGGCAAAGTCTCCTGGGGGAGGGGGGCAGAAGGATGATGAGGACCCTGACCTGTCTCTGCTTTCTTTGGAATTGAAAGAGGCAGGTATGGTGGCTCACACCTGTTAATCCCAGCACCTTGGGAGGCCGAGGCAGGAGTATCACTTGAACCCAGGAATTCGACTCCCAGCCTCCCAAAGGGATTATAGGTGTGAGCCAATATAATCCAGCCTGGCCAAGATGTTTTGCTTTGTTTTCTTAGATGGAGTGTCCCTCTGCCACCCAGGCTGGAGTGCAGTGGTGTCATCTCGGCTCACTGCAACCTCCAGGGTTCAAGCGATTCTCCTGCCTCAGCCGCCCAAGTTGCTGGGATTACAGACACCACCCGGCTGATTTCTGTATTTTTAGCCAGGCTGGTCTCAAACTTCTGACCTCAAGTGATCCACCCACCTTGGCCTCCCAAAGTGCTGGAATTACAGGCATGAGCCACCACACCCAGCCCAAGATGAGTATTATTATTATTCCCATTTCAGATGGGGAAACTGAGGCCCCAGGTCACAGAGCTGGCTAGTGAAGATTTAGAATTAAAAACCAAGGAAGCCTGAATCCAGAGTCTGCACTTTGAAGCATACAATCCTCAATCCCCGTTACGCATCTCATTCCCTTCCCCGTCTTAAATAACACCAGCAATAATAATAATAATAACAGCACAAGGACACTGAAGTGCACCCGCACCCTGCCAGGCATCGGGAACTCATGTCGTCATCACCACCGTCCTGCGAACCTGGAACCAGCTTTTTCTCTAATCAAAATACACGGGGAAAATCCTGCTCCTGGCAAGAGCACCAGAGTTGAGATTTTAACCTGGGCAGGCTGGTTGACCACAGACACAATCTCCACGGCCAGTCCCATCCCCTGTCCCTTCAGAGACACATTGGCCTCAGCCCCGTCCCCTCCATGGTCCTAGCTCTACCCCTAATCTGTGCTCCCCCCACCATCCCTCCGTGCCCCCCACCATCCCTCCACGAGCCCCACTATCCTTCTGCACACCCCCATCAACCCTCTACGCACCTCCCACCAATCCTCCACTCTCCTTCCACGAAGCCCCCAGCAGCCCTCCACGAGGCCCCCACCATCCCTCTGCAGGCCCCTGCGGATGTGATTGCCTCACCCACGTGGAGAACGGCGTCGTACATGCCCCGCTGGGTTTCCCTGCGCAGCCGTGGGAAGGCCTTTGGGTTGTCAGCCCCCAGATCCCCAAACACAGCCAGACGGGGGCTCCAGTGGGCCCCATTTTTGAGGGCCCTGAAGCGGAACCGACGGCTCCAGCCCTGGGCACTGCCACAACGATAAACTGAAGGGAGAAGAAAAGGTTGCAGTCAGCTGGGCCCCCCAGGACCCTCCCTCCAACCCCCATCCTTCCTTGACTGGTGGTGGGGAGGAGATGGGGGGGACTAGTGGGAGCTGGCCCATGCCCCTTCAGTCTGCCTTCCTGGCACCTTCCATTTTCCTCCTGGGATCTCTTGCAATAGCCTTGCAGATAGGCAGAGGAGTTACCAGCCCAGCCTGAGCCACCAGCCAGCGGTAGCTTCTAGTCCATATCCCACTCCTCTTCCCATCAACAGCTCAGCCCGGGGCCCCTCTCACCATACTGAACCCCCGGCAGCAGCTTGCGCAGTGTGACTCGGTGTATGTAGAGCTTCCTCCGAAGAATGCCCCCGTCCACAAAGGGGACGAAGGTGCCCTGGGCGCGGAGGGGCAGGGGCCCTGACGGCTGCAACCCGAATTGCACTTCAGAGCGGGTTGGGACCCATGTGGTCCAGGTGACAGTCATGGAGCCTGGCTCACCTGGGGAGAAAGGGACAGAGGGTGGCGGGGGAGTGAGGTCTGGGGAGAGAGGGACGTGCATAAAAAGTGAGGGGCGTTGACAGTAACTACTGTTGAACAGTTAGTAGTCAAGGACACAGGTTCTGGAACTGCCCAAGTTCAATCCCAGCTCTGCCTTTTCTTTTGTTGTTGTTTTGTTGTTTTTTTTCAGGCAGAGTTTCGCTCTTGTTGCCCAGGCTGGAGTGCAGTGGCACGATCTCGGTTCACGGCAACCTCTACCTCCTGGGTTCAAGCGATTCTCCTGCCTCCGCCTCCTGAGTATCTGGGATTACAGATGCCCACCACCATGCCTTCGTAATTTTTGTATTTTTAGTAGAGATGGGTTTTACCATGTTGGCCAGGCTGGTCTCAAACTCCTGACCTCAGGTAATCCACCCACCTTGGCCTCCCAAAGTGCTGGGATTACAGGTGTGATCCACTGCACCCGGCCCCAGCTTCACCTCTCTGAGCCTTAGTTTTCCTGTCTGCCAAATGGAAGAATAATAGTCTCTGCCCTATACGGTTGTTATGAGGCTTAGATGAACCAATAGAAGTAAAGCACGTAACAGTGCCTAGTACACTTAGGGTTATGTGGGGGAATGAGTATTATTATTAATATCATTATTTACCGTGTGCTGACCTTGTGCCAACACGATATCATTTAAGGGTTGCCAGCTTGGGTGTCTGGAGGCCACGGGTGATCTAAAGGGAGACAAGGGCCACCTGTACGACAGCAAGGAGTTGCAGAGCAGGTGGCCAACTGTAGACCCACCCTATCTCAAAGGGGCAGCCATCACTCAGATCTGGCAGTAGCCACCAAGCAAGCAGGAAATGAGCCCAGTACCAGCAAAGCTACTGACTTTTTTTTTCTTTTGGAGATAGGGTCTCACTCTGTTGCCCAGGCAGTGATGCCATCATAGCTCACTGCAGCCTTGACCTCCTGGGCTCAAGCCATCTTCCAGCCTCAGCCTCCCAAGTAGCTGGAACCACAGGCACATGCCACCATGCCCAGCTAATTTTTTTTTTTTGAGGTGGAGTCTTGCTCTGTTGCCCAGGCTTGAGTGCAGTGGTGCAATCTTAGCTCACTGCCACTTCTGTGAGATGGTCTGGCTCTGTGTCCCCACTCAAATCTCATCTTGAATTTTACTCCCATAATTCCCATGTGTTGTGGGAGGGACCAGTGGGAAATCATTTGAACATGGGGGGCGGTTTCCCCCATACTGTTCTCATGGTAGTGAATAAGTCTCATGAGATCTTGTGGGTTTATCAGGGGTTTCCACATTTGCTTCTTCCTCATTTTCTCTTGCCACCAGCGTGTAAGAAATGCCTTTCACTTCACTGGCTGGGCACAGTGGCTCACGCCTGTAATCCCAGCACTTTGGGAGGCCAAGGTGGGTGGATCACCTCAGGTCAGGAGTTCGAGACCAGCCTGGCCATCATGGTGAAACCCTGTCTCTACTAAAAATACAAAAACTAGCCAAGCATGGTGGCAGGTGCCTGTAATTCCAGCTACTCAGGAGGCTGAGGCAGGAGAATCGCTTGAACCTGGGAGACGGAGGTTGCAGTGAGCTGAGACCGTGACATTGCACTCCAGCCTGGGTGACAGAGCAAGACTCCATCTCAAAAAATTAATAAATAAATAAATAAATAAATAAAAATAAAGTACTTAATCTTCCTAAGTCTTAGTTTCCTCATCTGTAAAATAGGGAGAATAAAAAATTTATGAAAGAAAAAAAATGCCTTTCACCAGCTGGATGTGGTGGCTCATGCCTGTAACCCCAGCATTTTAGGAGGCCAAGGTGGGTGGATCACAAGGTCAGGAGAGTGAGACCATTTTGGCCAACATGGTGAAACCCCGTCTCTACTAAAAAGACAAAAATTAGCTGGGAGTGGTGGCACACACCTATAGTCCCAGTTACTTGGGAGTCTGAGGCAGGAGAATTGCTTTACTGGGAGGCAGAGGTTGTAGTGAGCCAGGATTGTGCCACTGCACTCCAGCCTGGCAACAGAGTGAGACTCTGTCAAAAAAAAAAAAAAAAGAGAGAGAGAGAAAGAGGAAGGAAAGAAAGAAAGAAAGAAAGAAAGAAAGAAAGAAAGAAAGAAAGAAAGAAAGAAAGAGAGAAAGAGAAACGCCTTTCCCCTCCCGCCATGATTCTGAGGCCTCCCCAGCCACGTGGAACTGTAAGTCTAATGAAACGTCTTCTTCTTCCCAGTCTCGTGTATGTCTTTGTCAGCAGCGTGAGAATGGACTAATACAGTAAATTGGTACCAGTAGAGTGGGGCGTTGCTGAAAAGATACCTGAAAATGTGGAAGCGACTTTGGAACTGGGTAACAGGCAGAGGTTGGAACAGTTTGGAGGGCTCAGAAGAAGAAAGGAAAATGTGGGGACACTCGGAGCTTCCTAGTGACTTGTTGAATGGCTTTGACAAAAATACTGACAGTGATACGGACAGTGAAATCCAGGCAGAGGCAGTCTCAGGTGGAGATGAGGAACTCGTTGGGAACTGGAGCAAAGGTGACTCTCGTTATATTTTAGCAAAGAGACTGGCACGATTTTGCCCCTGCCCTAGAGATATGTGGAACTTGGAACATGAGAGAGATGATTTAGGGTACCTGGCAGAAGAAATTTCTAAGCAGCAAAGCATCCAAGATGTGCTGTTAAAGGCATTCTTTTGGGCCGGGCACGGTGGCTCACGCCTGTAATCCCAGCACTTTGGGAGGCTGACGTGGGTGGATCATGAGGTCAACAGATCGAGACCATCCTGGTCAACATGGTGAAATCCCGTCTCTACTAAAAATACAAAAAATTAGCTGGGCATGGTGGCGTGTGCCTGTAATCCCAGCTACTCAGGAGGCTGAGGCAGGAGAATTGCCTGAACCCAGGAGGCGGAGGTTGCGGTGAGCCGAGATCGCGCCATTGCACTCCAGCCTGGGTAACAAGAGCGAAACTCCGTCTCACTCTGTTGCCCAGGCTGGAATGCAGTGGTGCAGTCTTGGCTCACTGCAACCTCCACCTCCCAGGTTCAAGCGATTCTCCTGTCTCAGCCTTCTGTGTAGCTGGAATACAGGCATGTGTCACCATGCCCGGCAAATCTTTGTATTTGGGGTTTGGGAACCTCTGCCTAGATTTCAGAAGATGTATGGAAACTTCTGGATGCCCAGGCAGAAGTTTGCTGCAGGGGCAGGGCCCTCATGGAGAACCGCTGCTAGGGCAGTGCAGAAGGGAAATGTGGGGTTGGAGCCCCCACACAGTGTCCCTACTGGGGCACCACCTAGTGGAACTGTGACAAGAGGGCCACCATCCTTCACACCCCAGAATGGTAGATCCACTGATAAATTGCACTGTGCTCCTGGAAAAGCTGCTGACAATCCATGCCAACCTGTGGAAGCAGCCAGGAGGGAGGCTGTACCCTGCAAAGTCACAGGGGCGGTGCTGCCCAAGACCATGGGAAGCCACCTCTTGCATCAGCGTGACCTGGATGTGAGACCTGAGCTCAGAGGGAATAATTTTGGAGCTTTAAAATTTGACTGCCCTGCTGGATTTTGGACTTGCATGGGTCCTGTAACCCCTTTGTTCTGGCCAATGTCCCCCATTTGGAATAGTATTTACCCCGTAACTATACCCCCATTGTATCTAGGAAGTAACTAACCTGCTTTTGATTTTTACAGGCTCATAGGTGGAAGGGACTTGCCTTCAGATGAGATTTTGGACTGTGAACTTTTGGGTTAATGTGGAAATGAGTTAAGACTTTGGGGGACTGTTGAGAAGACATGATTGGTTTTGAAATGTGAACACAGGAGATTTGGAGGAGCCAGGGGCAGAATGATATGGTTTGACTCTGTTCTCACCCAAATCTCATCTTGAATTATATTCCCATAATTCCCATGTGTTGTGGGAGGGACCTGGAGGGAGATCATTTGAATCACGGGGGCGGTTTCCCTCATACTGTTCTCGTGGTAGGGAATGAGTCTCATGAGATCTGATGGTTTTATGAGGAGTTTCCGCTTCTGCTGTTTCTTCATTTTCTCTTGCCTCCACCACGTAAAAAGTGCCTTTCACCTCCTGCCATGATTCTGAGGCCTCCCCAGCCAGGTGGAACTGTAAGTCCAACTAAATCTTTTTCTTCCCAGTCTCAGGTATGTCTTTATGAATAGCATGAAAACAAATTAATACACCCCACCTTCTGGGTTCAAGTGATCCTCCCACCTTAGGCTCCTGAGTAGCTGGGACCACAGGCGTGCACCTGTATGCCCAGCTCATTTTTAATTTTTTTTCTTAGAGATGGGATCTTGCTGCGTTGCCCAGGCTTGTCTTGAACTCCTGGGCTTGAGTGACCCGCCCTCCTTGGCCTCCCAAAGTGCTGGGATTACAGGCACGAGCATGTCCCGACTTTTCTATTGACTTCTAGAACATATCTTTACACAGCAGTTTTAATAACCCAGGAGCATATATAGATAGGAAAATCCATATTTTAAAGCGATAGTTTCAAATTTTTAAATGTTAGCACCCAAGTCAAGGTTTTAAAAATGCCGTGTGGTGTAGTGTAACGTTAGGAGTTCTTCCTCCAGCCATACAAAAACGCACGTGCCCAGGGTTATTGATGGCAGTAGGCTTTGTAATTGCAAAATATGGGAAACAACCTGAATGCCCATATTTAGGAGAGTGACTGAATAACATCCGCACAATGGTGTAAAAAAGAATGAGGGCAAGCTCCAAGAACTGCTATGAAATGCTTCCAGGACATACTGTTAAACCAAAAATAGCGAAGTGCAGAAGAGTGTAGTTACTGCCCTGAATGTAAGGGGATAGAGGAAAACACGCAGGTGTCTCTGCTTATTCAAAAGAAAAACACATAGCATCCACCAGGTACTAAGGAGATGAATTCTGGCCAGGTACGGTGGCTCACACTTGTAATCCCAGCACTTTGGGCGGTCAAGGTGGGTGGGTCACCTGAGGTCAGGAGTTTGAGACCAGCCTGGC